TAATCTTTCTGTATATTTATAATAAGCATAAGAAAATATTAGTTAACATAACTGACTAGAGTTATTATATATTATTATATTATTATATATGGTCTTCTGTTTTTTGAATGAATATTACTGTGACAGATATAAAAATATATATTTCAAAATAAGAAATATTTAAGTACATAATTGCATAAGTATATTTCTTTTTTATTCAAAAAAGATGAAATAATTTTCGTAATTCATAAAAATAATTAGTTAAAAGAAATATTATTTATATGTTAAAATGTTATAATACATAATATGGCAGGAACTGTAAAAGATAAATGCTTTTAATATAAAACTAAAAGGAATGTTTCTCATTTATGCATTTGTGATTTAATGAAAACATTATATTCAAATATTAATTCTATTAACTGTTATTGATATGATATTAATATAATTCTATTAATTATGGAATCTTACTGTGAAAATCATATATCTATTAAAAAGAATGATATTGATAATATAATATATAATAAACTCTCAATTATTCATAACTATTGATAAAATTTTAAGATCAACAATTTTAGATTAAAATTTAAGCATTTCAAAAGTGCAATAATACTTTGTGCGTGCAAATCGTCTCATCACTTTTTTTTTAAGTATTATATAGTTTTTTTAAACATTTACAAAAGCTTGAAACATCAACATAGGATGACATCCACATAAAACTTTAATTCCGATTTTATCATTTGCTGGAATAAATATAACAGAACCTCGATAAAGAATTTTTGATGGTGAGATTTCACCTTTTCCATTTATGATAATTAAAATACTAGCTGTATTTCTGGGAATGATATTATATGATGCTCTTCCAGGAGGAATCTAAAAAAATATTTTTTACAAATTTAAAAAAATTTTTTTACATTTAATAACTGATAACTTTTCATAGAGAAATTTACTGTAATTTTAGCAACAGCAAAATCTTTTACAGGAGGACGAAATACTTCTGTACATTCATCTTCACGAGAAGGTTGAAATCTTTTTGCAGAAATTGGTTCACAAATGTAACTTAACATTTCAATTAATGTTGGTACATCTTTTAATTTAGAAGTCAATCCTGCACGTATTACATTATCAGAGCATGCCATGCATTCTATACAATCTATAATTTTAATATATTAAATTTCATTTGTTAAAATATAATTATATTTTAGTATATATATATATATATATATATATATATATATTATATAA